TCCCCCCATAGAGTGTAGAAAAGCAGGGAGAATTAAGTCATCTAAACCGATTCCACTGGTAACAGGCCTTTTATTTTTCAGTCCTTTAAAAAACAAATCAAGACTTGATTTCAGTGTAAATTTTGATGCTGTTGAGTCTGTTCAGACTCATAGCAACCCTGTATAGGATTTCTGAGGGGTAGCAGATTGGTTTGAACCACCAACCTTGCAGTTAGCAGCCCAGAGCTTATCCTACAGTGCTACACCAGGGCATGAGATTGACCCAGCACAGTATATAAAGAGATGTGACCTGAACAAGTGCACTGAGCTGGGGTAGATGAAAATGGGTCATCTTTCCATTGTTTCACGGAGTTTTTTCTCATCAGCAGTAACTGTCAGGTAACTCCATGCTGTCTTATCTTAAATGTGTAGGTTTTGCCTGTGGGTAAACAGTTCTTGGGTACCTGGAAAAGTATACAATTCCATTATATTTAAATGATGTTCTATAGAAAACCTTTTACTTGGCATCACTACTAGGGTTCCAGTTCATACATACACCTGTTTATTTGAAACAAAAGTTTAAACATGCCTGCGGTCACTGGATGGCTGCGGAAGTCTAAAGTCTCAGTTCTTGTGAAATGCTATAAAGCCAGTTACGACCAATAGCGACCTTGTTTCCAAGGAGCCCCTGGTGAGTTTGAACCGCTCACCTTTAAGTCTCATTAGGGTGCCTTAGATTTTAAAAAGTCCAATTTAAACAGTGGCTTCCGAGGGGATCTGCTCATCAGTTAAGTTCAAGGCAGAGAGATCGGCTTGGGTTATGGCAACTGTTTTTGAGGATTCCAGAGGGGTAGTCTGTAGATTTTCTCAAAGGACACAAGATGATCATGGAGGCGTATTATGAAGACACTTTTAAGAAAACTGAAACGTGAAGAAAAGGCCAGGAAATTTGAGACAAGGAATATTTTCCATCCTGAGAATTTCATTGGGAATTTGACCCATCCACAGCCCTGATCTTGCCCCTTAGGGATACCAAAACTGCTGTCTTGGTGTGAAAATCAGAGTGAAGAATTCTTTAGGGAAGGATTAGAGATGGGAACACTATCTTCAGAAGTATATAGATTTAAATGGAGGATGTGTCGAAAAACAATAGGTTCATATCTTGCTATTTTTATTTGTTTAATAAAAGTTTTTATAGTTTTGTAGCAATACTTTTTGACTTACCCTTGTATCATCGTCCCACTCTGGAGGCTGACAGTGATGGCAATGTGGCTCATTTCAGGATCCCTGTGCTTGAAAGGAGACCGTAGTTTGTGGTCCTCGTGATTGAGTCAGGCTTTCAGCTCAAATTCCAGCTAGTAGCATACCCAGAGCAGCTCAGGCGGTGGAAAGTGATTCACTGGGAGTCTCGCCTCTACCATCCTCCTTTCCAAACTCCCTAAGTGCTGTTGAGTCATTTCTGACTCAATGTCCCTGTATAAGGTTTCCAAGGAACACCTGGTGGATCTGAAACACCAACCTTGTGGTTAGCAGTCCAGTGCTTATCCTGTAGTGCCACACCAGCAATCTCTGGCTGTCCACGATGGAAATTTTTTCCCCCAAAATTACAGCATTTACATCAGGAGCGGCAGCTGTAAGATTGGTCTGTTTCACCAAAAGAATGAATGAAATGGGAGAGGGGGCTTTCTACAAAACTGGGCTTACCTAGGGAGTGTCTACGTGTACTTTTAGAACACAGAATTGAGAATTCTAGTTCTTATGCTCTAGTCAACCATCCATTACCTCCACAGCCTTCCCTCCACTTCCAAGTGCTTTTTCCATCTGCTCTGCACCAGGCCTACATTAGGTGTTTGGGATGTAGCTTTGTCCTACTGTATACCTCATGGTGGTGGTTATGTGCCATGGAGTTGGTTCCGACTCAGTGACCTTGTAGGGTTTCCAAGGCTGTAAATAGTTATGGGAGAAAACCTCATCTTTCCTGTGGCGTGGCTGGTAGATCTGAACTGCTGACCTTGCAGTTAGCTAGCAGTCCATCTCCTAGTCCACTACACTACCAGAGCTCCTTGTCTACATAAGCACAGCAAATTTTTGAAATAAAGAGAAAGGTAAGCCCTTTCTATGCTGAACTACCTGCTAGATCAGTTTTAAAAGCAAGAGTCCCCTCCCCTTAAAGAAGTCTACCTTAGGTTACGCTTTCTAGAGGGTCCTCTCACCCAACAAATTAAACTCATTGAGAAATGAGAAACCAGTTCAGTGGCCTTAGTGCTATTCAAAATGCTTTTCTACCTGCCCATTATTAATCTGGCATTCAACCTACTAGGATACTTATAATGAAAGAGTCAAGAGAAAGGGGGATGTTCCCCAACGGATTGTTTATTTAAGAGAGCACCACCTACTGGTCAAAGCTGAGAGCATTATTTAACATACCCAGCACAGGCCACATCCTCAAACTAGTATAGTATCTTAACCATCTGTCCCTTACTAAGGCTGATCTTACAAAATGGGATTCAGTGCCTTAAGTGATAACCTGCTTTTAATTGTAAACGATTTTATTTAGCAACAAAAAATGAGTAGTCAATTACTCATTTCCCACGCAAAAACAAAAAACCCAAATAATTCAATTCTTGCTAGAATTAAAAAGGTTTTTTTTCCCCTAGAGCACCACCTACTGGTCAAAGCTGAGAGCATTATTTAACATACCCAGCACAGGCCATATCCTCAAATTAATACAGAATAAGTTAGTTCAAGAATTTTTTGGAGGCTTTGAAAGTTACATGAGTCCTAGTGTAGCGCTGTGGGTACCGTGCTGGACTACACGGTTGGTTTGAACCACAAAGTGATTCAAGCTCACTAGCCTCTCCTCAGAAACCCTGTACAGGGTGCCTATGGGTTGGAACCTACTTGATGGCACTTAACAGAAGTTACTTAATAGACAACGTCTCATGACAGTTTATAACAAGTTATCAAGTAGTCAAGAGTAAAAGCTTGAAATGAGCCCAAAATGAAATTTTTGGCTATCTAGCATTTCATTATACAACCCATAGTGAACCTGTATAGGTCGGTTTGAACCTCAAAGTCAGCGGTTCAAGCTTACCAGCTGTTCCTTGGGAATCCTATACAGGGTCTCTATGGGTTGGTACCGACTCCACGGCACAACAATGGTGATGACATGTAATTCAAGAATCATCCCTAAATGTGTAATTTGCTTGTCAGTATTCAAAGGGGCTTCAAAAAGTTCATGGAAAAATAAGAATGTTTAGATAATGGCATTTATACCCCCTCCCTCAGAGACAGTTTGCTCACATGGAGATAGATGATTGCATTGCAGCAACTCCAAACACCTGCTTATTGCCAGAGAAGGAAAAATTCTGCGTTATTAGTGGGCGCCCACGCAATTCACACCCAACTTGTTCAAGGACCAACCAAATTACGGATTTCCAACCTTGGGAAGTTGGCACCCCTCCCCCATCCCTTCATTGTTCAAGAGTCAATTATACTATCATCTGATTAAACTATTGCTTAAATAGCTTTAGAAGCTTCTTATCTGGCAGCCCTATCATTTCACCACATTGTTCCCCTTAAAAGTCAAGCAGTGATGTTAAGTCTGTAGTAAGTGGACTAAGGCAATATTCTGATCACACTCAATTTTATCACTAGCTTTCTACATAACAAAACACTGTCTGCCCTTTTGGGTTCCCATCTAATCTTTTTAGTTATTGTTAATTTGATCCCATACAGATACAAGGGAACATCAAAGTTTGTGGGAAAATGGAATTAAGTAAGCTATAATGGAAATTTACTACAAATATCTCTAAGATCTCACTGGTTAAGTTTAACTACTAGCTTGATTTAAAAATGACAGTATTTTTTGTTAAGGTTTAAATACTATCTCAGGACAATAGTCTTGGAGCTCTGCAAAGTAGACTAGATGAGAATTTAAAATTCTGGTCTCCATCAGGATTCTTCTATAGAATCTTTGATGAGAATGTTCAGCACTGGTAGCTGGGCACTACTCAGTTCTGGTCTCATGGCAAATGAGGTAGTTGTTCTGCAGCCCATGAACCACACATTGTTATCTTTCTATTTCTAAGGCTCCTACTGCCATTGTTCCAGACAAAAAAATGTATATTAATCTTTTTTGAGGCCAACCCCTATCGTCACACAAAAACAGTTCCTTGTTTTCCCTTCAATCCCTGTATGTACGTGACTATGCTTCTCCTTAAAATGGGATTTTGAAGCCATAAGGTATAAACCTAAAACCAAAGTTTCCAAGTCAAATGTTGGTTGACCTGAGAATGCTCTCATGCTCTGCTAAACTTTCGAGTCTGAGTCTGTCCTGTCATATATGTCCATTAATATGAGAAATTACTGTTTGGAAAGTCCACAGTCCAACATCACAGTATCAAAAAGGAAAAATTCTACATCTCCAATACTCATCCCTTTCTTCCTCTTATATTAAGTATTCTCAGGATTTTTAGAGTGTTCCTATACTGATAGCACCAGACTGTGAACTAGAACGTCTGTAGTTTGAGCCTACCAACCACTCCGCAGAAGAAAGATGAGGCTTTCTGCTTCCACAAAGATCTTAAAAAGCCTTGAAAAAACCCTATACAGGGCACTATGAGTCGGAACTGACTCCATGGCACTTTGTGAAGTCCTGGTGTGGCACTACATCATAAGCACTGGACTACAAGAGCAGTGTGAACTACAAGGTCAGCAGTTCAAACTCACCAGCTGCTCCTTGGTAACCCTGTTAAGTGCCGTCGAGTTGGTTCCAACCCATAGCAACCCTGTATAGGATCTCCAAGGAACAACTAGTAAGCTTGAACTGCTGACCTTACAGTTCAAACCGACTTTGCAGTCCAGCACATTAACCCACAACGCCACACCAAGACTCCCTATAGAGTCGGAACCGATCGATGGCATTGAACAAGAAGCAGCACCTCCACCTTTTCATACAAAAAAAGCTACAGATACAAACGTTAAGGACAACTTTTTATTGCTACCAGAGGCCTTTAGCATCAGTACATGGTTATGACCGCAATACCTTCTTTAGACTGCACAGAGAGCTCAGGATCCCTAAGTCATTAAGACAAAGACAGGTAGACTGGGTGGCAGGGGGCTTCATTTTTATCAAGAAAATTCTAACAACATAAACGTGGGCACTGAATTCAGTCAATACATGTTACAGACTCAAAACAACTGCTCAACTTCCAGAGTCTTTCCTACTGATTATAAATGGATGAAAATTCTGGTCATTTACAAAATCTAATTTTAGTTTACATACATGTTTCTTTGGTGAGCACCTGGATATATTAACTTTATCACAAATTATTTTATACAAATGTCAAAAATGGTTTCTTTCAACAAATCTAAGCATGTCCTAATTACATGTCACTTTAAACCAACATGGTAATGCGAGTCTTTTTCTATTACAACCTGATTCATATGGGGCAATTTCGAAGTAGCTCTTCAGACTAACTTGGAATTGAATTGTGGATTAAATGCTGACAGTCATATAATCAATTTTCTCACAAAACTGCTAAAAATAATAATCTGGGGGATTTCCTATTTAGTGAAGGTTAGGGTACAGATCAACATGCATAAAATTCATTAAGCTTTCAATGAAGAAGAAAGCAAAAGAAGAAAATTCAATCAGGATGCTGGGGATATGGTTTGCTAGTTATGAATTTTGAAACTTTTAAAAATGGTAACTGAATTTTTAATATGGTGCAAGCAGCATCACATTTTAGCAGAGGAAATAGTGGAAATGACAAATATGATAAATAAAATGCACACTTTT